CTTCATCCTGTTTAACTCAGACCATTTCTCCAATTTGTCCAGATCATTTTGAATTATGACCCTGTCCTCCAAAGCAGTTGCAATCCCTCCCAGTTTGGTATCATCCGCAAACTTAATAAGCGTACTTTCTATGCCAATATCTAAGTCGTTGATGAAGATATTGAACAGCGCCGGTCCCAAAACAGACCCCTGCAGTACCCCACTCGTTATGCCTTTCCAGCAGGATTGGGAACCATTAATAACAACTCTCTGAGTACGGTTATCCAGCCAGTTATGCACCCACCTTATAGTAGCCCCATCTAAATTGTATTTGCCTAGTTTATCGATAAGAATATCATGCGAGACCGTATCAAATGCCTTACTAATATCATGCGAAACCGTATCAAATGCCTTACTTGTTTGAATCTGGTGTCACTATGCTATGTGTTAATAATAGCAAGTTAACTTCAGATATCAGGCAACACAGGAAACCCACATAAGATTTTGGCCAAATTCCCATCCACTGCCCCTATCCCCCCACTTTCTTTGGTGGTGCTCTACCCCACAGCTGGGATGGTGCTTAATCAGCTACTATTCAGTTGGGTTTTGAGGGGAATCTCTCTCTAGCTCCAGAAGTCAGTCCAAGTCTGACTTTCATGTTCCATCCCTTCTTGAGGCACGTATGCAACTCCTTTTCAGTGAGCTAAGTAAGGTGCTGAAAAGGGAAGACTCTTCTCCTACCTCCAAAGTTTCCCAAGGCATTTATTACAGTAATGCTGTAGGTGAATTCTTTAGGACCTCCTGCAATGTTCATTTGAGACCATCAGAAGAATGAAAGGGTCACATCACTGAATGAAAAGACAAAAGGCCAACTCAAACTTTCTAACTGGAATGCTTTTAGGTTTCTTTTGGAGAAACTGAAATACATACAGGAATGTAAGAATGTCCAGGCAATACTTGATCACATGAAATGCAAGTTTTGTTTGAAAAACATTGTCAAACCAAAGGGATCAGACTCTGATCATATAATTTAGAATGGGAAAGACTGTTCACTTCATTCTTAGATGACCATATTTTAAATCTCCTTATACAGAGGAGTATTTGAAAGACATGGCTCAAGATGAAGGGAATACAAAGGAGAGTGACAAGTCAAATTCAAACAATATGAACGTGTCTGTAGAATAGCTTTTGAAACAAGATTGTTGGGTACATCTGACACTAAGGTCTAATGCCTCTACCAGCATCAGTGTGTAAGTGCATGCTTCAAGACAAGCAGGTTGGGAATGGTAATACTCATACTGAAGAGAACATTAAAAAGTGTTCAAAGTCATATTCTTGGGAAGATGTCACCAAGGTGACCAGAGTCTTTTCTAGTGATACACTCAGATGTTTCTCATAAAAAGAAAAGCAAGGCTTGCTTCACCCTAGGACCTGTATAACCATTTTTTCCCCTTCTTTAAACTCAGCAAGCTGATTTCACAGCCAGAAAAGAGTCTCTCCTAAACTGGATAAAGACCAAAGGATGCATAGCTGGTCTTGCTAGCTGCCTAGCGAGGAACGTATTTTGGAGAAGTTCTATAGCCTATGATATACAGGAAGTCATACTAGTTGATCACAATGGTCCCTTCTGGCCTTGGAATCTACAAATCTTCATTGTAATGCATTTAAAAAATACCACTTAGCTTTTTTTTTTAAGTAACAGTCAGTGTTTAACTCCTTGCATACTTGGGAAATCCAAAGCCACCTTGCTTAGAACAGCTGTTAGCTGTTAATGGGCAGTACAAATAAACCTGCTTTGGAATAAACACTTCCAGTGCAGGTCTAGTGCTTTCAAATTTTCACCCAGCTCTCAACTTTAAAGAAATTAAAATAGGCAGGCTAACAGGGCCCGCCTAGAACTATCACATCCCCTACCTCCCCACCCCCACTTTGCTCAAGCAATGCAACATATAGAGTGCAGCTTTAATGCAAGCAGATCTCCATTTGTTCAATGTGGTGATTATCCAAAAGCAAGGTGTCATAACTATAAAGGGAAGGGTAACATCCCTCCTGTGTACAATACTATAAAATCCCTCCTGGCCAGAGACTCCAAAATCCTTTTACCTGTAAAGGGTTAAGAAGCTCAGGTAACCTGGCTGACACCTGACCCAAAGGACCAATAAGGGGACAAGATACTTTCAAATCTTGGTGGGGGGAAGGCTTTTGTTTGTGCTCTTTGTTTGGTGGGTGTTCGCTCTTGGGGCTAAGAGGGACCAGACATCAATCCATGCTCTCCAAATCTTTCTGAACAAGTCTCTCATATTTCAAACTTGTAAGTACAGCCAGGCAAGGCGTGTTAGTTTTATCTTTGTTTTCTCAACTTGTAAATGTACCTTTTGCTACGGTGTTTACATGTTTGCTGTAACTTTGAACCTAAGGCTAGAGGGGGTTCCTCTGGGCTCTTTAAGTTTGATTACCCTGTAAAGTTATTTTCCATCCTGACTTTACAGAGATGATTTTTACCTTTCTTTCTTTAATTAAAAGCCTTCTTTTTAAGAACCTGATTGATTTTTCCTTGTTCTAAGATCCAAGGGGATTGATCTGGACTCACCAGGAATTGGTGGGGGGGAAAGGGAAGGGAGGGGGGGAATGATTAATTCCTCCAAGGGTTTTGGATCAGTGTTCACCAGGGAATTAATTGGTGGAAGAGTCTCTCAAGGCTACCCAGGGAAGGGAGTTAGCACATTGGGAGTGGTGGCAGCAAAAGCAGATCTAAGCTGGTAGAGAAGCTTAGAGGTTTTCATGCAGGCCCCCACATCTGTACCCTAAAGTTCAGAGTGGGGAAGGAGCCTTGACACAAGGCCACCTTGTGTCTTTGGAGTATTAACACAAAGCCGGAGATACTATGTTACCCATCAAGTTTCCTCTTTCCCTATCAATTCATAAGCGGCTACACTAGATCAGGTCTAGTGAATTCTGTGAATTGGCTGTCTGGAGATAGGGGGTGAAAAAAGGTGCTTGCCAGGAAAGAGCCATTTCAATGTTCTCCATCATAAGAATGGGAACACATCACATCATAGCACCTTCACACCTTCATGGCCCAAAGAAGAGCACAGTTACTCAATTCCAGGTCACATGAAGCAGTACTAATTCCTGCCTATGCCTCTCAACTGGCATTTGGGACAGTTTATTAATGGCATGCTGCTTTGTGAATGAGTTTTAAAAGTAGTCTCAAACTTAGAAAATGCTCTTGTAAAAGCTTGAGACAGAGGAAGAGAGGCACTCTAATCACTTGACCAGCTATATATCTTTTGCACTACATGTTGGGATATGTAGGAGAAGCCTCAAGGCTGCTGTCCGCTTTATCTGACCCTGTTAAGGATGCCTCTAGCTCTGCCCAGGCCTGAGGAGCATTGCTCTTTATTGCCTCCATGAACAATTGTGTTTGCTGCTTCAGTCGGTCCAGTTCAATCTGGGTTACCTGGTTCTGATGAATCAGCTCCTTGGTTTTCAAGGTGATCTCCAGCAATCCAGACCTGTGCAGCACAACAAAGGTATTCTGAAAGCGCTTGCGCTTGCGTTGCTGCTGCAACAATAGCTCAGGAGTAGTGTAAAGTTCTTCTGCTGCTAAAGGTGGGCTGCAGGTTGCTAATTGCACCATATGATGTACTGGATTCTCCATCTCAGGAGATTTGCGGTCTGATATCTGGAGGAGTCCAGTAGGGGAAAAGGGAATCAAACCTGGGGCCTTTTGTTTGGCAGTAGAAATATACTGAAAGCCATCAATAGTTGACATTTTTCCATCTGCCATCAAAGCTGGAGAACTCTGCTGAGTAGAGTCCTGAGCAGGCTTAAAGTCAGGTGATACTTGGGGGCAAGCACTAGAGGGCAATAAACTATTATTGGACATAGCAGTATCTGTGCAAAGCCATTTCTGTCCACTGGTTCTCCCTCTTTCCTCCAAATCCCAGACACGATCTCTTTTGCTGGGATGTGGTGCTGTCTTTGTGTAGGAGTTCAGGATGGGCAGGTAATTAGTAGAGTCACTTCTCTTTTCACCAAAAAGGTGAGGGTTAATGGGATGGGAGATGGCTGGATGAAGAAACACTAGCTGTGGCTGACCTGGAATCACTTCAAAAGATGGCTGAACAGTCCAAGACTGAAGCTGCGATGAACTGCTTCCCTGAGAAGTATGGGGGGAAAAAGTGGAATTATCACAACTAACAGTGTAAGAAAAAATGTTAGAAAAGCTTTATCAGAACAGGTGAGCCTAGTGCCAATGACTGTAGACATTGTTGCTGCCAGTTATAATGCAATCTGAGTAGGTTTTACCTCCTATAAATTCATTCTTCCCTTCTTGTGACATTTGAGGACACTGCTAGAGACAAAGCTGTAATTCAGAATCTATTTACTGCTGAACAGCAAATACATTTAGAAGCCATTCAGTTTTAGCATTCCTATTTATGCTAACCCTGGACTTAAGGATATAATAAGAGAATAATAACTACAAGTGTCCAGACAACTTTGAAAGAAAGCCACAACACTTAAAGTTATGATTTAAAAAAAGCATTCAGATGAATGCTGCACAAACATTCTATCTAGAAGTTTAAATTATATATTAGTTGAGACATAAGAACCCTATCCTGTCTCTTCTATTCTTACAGCAAGTGCGTGAAACAGTCTCAGTTATTTCTAACACAGTAGGTGGTCACTAACAAGTGCTGTAGTTCTAAAATTTACTGAAACCACATATTATACAAAAACCTAGCACTTGAAGTGTACCTAACGCCTACTAGCCCAAGGAGAAACACCTGCTCTCCACACAAAGTTGCACCCTTTCAACACCACACCTTTGGTTAAACTGGTGCAACTTTGTGTGTTGACAAGCTTAAAGTCTATTACTGTGGGGAGAAAAACACCTGTGCCGCCTCTCCCTTCCTAAAATTACACCCCTGGCAATGTAAAAAAAATGAAATATTTGTAACATTATCAACCATTTTGATTTAATTAAAAAAAACACTTACCACATTGATACTAATTGGCTCAAAATTGTGTCTTCAGCTAAACCTATCCTAAGACATCCACACTACCTCCCACTTATTTGTCTCATCTACCTTTAATGGTGGGTCTTTTAGATGCCAATGCAGCAAAGCATTTAAACATGAGCTAGAGTCCATCTGTATTCAGCAAAGCACTTTACCACACAATTAAGTGCTTTGATGAACAGCAAACGGCAGAGGAAGGATGATTCTGTGGCTAGGATACTAGTCTGGGACTCAAGAGGCTCTGGTTCAATTCCCTGCTATGCCACAAGCGACCAGTATTACTAAGGGCGAACCACTTAGAGGCAGAGAAACTGTTTCTCATCTGTAAAATAGGAATAATATTACTTTCCTACTTCACAGTGGTGCTGAGAGGATAAATACGTTGTGAGGTGCTCAGAGATTACAGTAATAGGGGGGCCATAAATACCTTAGATATACAGAATACAGATGGGCTGTAGAATTTGAAGCCTTAGGCTACATCTACAACAAGCAGTAGGGGCGTAATTCCCCTGCTCATGTACATATACTTACGCTACCTCTCATCAACCTAACGCAAGTATAAATAGCAATGGAGCTGAGGTAGCAATGGTAGCAGCAGCAGAGGCATGGCTGAGTCATACCAAGCACATACCCAACAATTTCAGGCAAGTTTGTACTCAGCATGGCTCAGCCTTGCTGCCATTACCAGTGCTACAGTGGCTACACTACTATTTATACTTGAGCTAGCATGAGTGTGTGTACACAAGCAGGGGAAATCATTCTCCTAGCTGGTAGCACAGGCATAGCTTGAAAGGGCAAGCTCTTTGGTGCAAGGCCTGTCGTTTACTATATGTTTGTACAAAACCTAGCATAAAGTGGCCCCAATTTGGTTGATGCTTCTACATGCTATCTTGCTCTTCTTTACTTGCCTGGATTCCTTTCTCATAATACATATTTTCCTACATTGTCCATTTCCTCCCTCCACCATCCGTCACTCATTTTTCCCCTTGACACTGTGTTCTCTGGTCTTTTGCCTCCTACCAAAATCTCACTTTGTATCACTCTCCTTTTTCCTAAGTTATTCTATTCATCTCAGCCGATTCACATTTGGAAAGCTCACTTTACAGCTTTTTTTAAAATGGAACCTTAAATTTTGCAACAGTCAACAGCACTTGTCCAGAAAGGCTTTGTGCATGCATGGGTGAGTGACTTTGACAAGACTTGTAAAAACTTCGCAGATAAATTGCACTGAGTTTAACAGAATTAATTCCATCTTGTTTTTAGCAGAATTATAGTAGCCCACATTTTCACTTTAAAATCAGCACAGCTGATCTGCACAGCTAGTATGTGTTTCTATGTAGGAGGATGGTACTGTTCTAGTAGTTCTCCTAAGCTGCTTGCCTGGTCTGAACCAGAGGAGAAAAAGACAGAATGCTGATGGTCTAACCTGTGATTAAAAAAAAAAATTCTGTCTCATAGCTGTTGCACCAAGAATTGTGTGGGACAACAAATCAATAAACCCTCTTATTTTTGGCACTGATCACTGTATTCGAAGGACCATTCCAACACAGTTGACTGACCCAACATATTCCAATTTGCTTAGTTATCACAGGTTGAGGCAGGAATGCATTTCATGATCATTAACCTATAATCATTGCTTTTGTTTGCTGAAGTAAAGTCTTCCATTTTACTTTAACATGACTCCCTCTTTATTTTATATAAAGAGGTTTGGACATGAAGATCTATGACTCAATGGACTGTCTTCCTTGTTTATTCTTAATTTCTCTCCCTCACTCTGCTACATTACAAAATTTCGTAACTTAGGTATATTATAAAAACCAGTAAAGTTTTGCTTGCACCATGCCCTGGGAAGTTTGTTAGCATAACAAGAGAGCCCCTATTTCATTTTCCACCTCTCACCCTGAAGGCACCAGTAGGAGAAGCTAGCCTAACCCCTACCAAATTGGAGCTTTGTGCGTCTGCTTAAACCGTTTGTCCACATTTCCAAGAACTGGGAGGGAGGGAGGAATCCACACAGTGTTTTGTCAAGCTAAAGAGAGCATGTCGTGGAGATCAAAGAACTGACTTCCCTCTAAATGCCTACTCCAGCCATCTCTTTCATTGCACATCTTAACAGAGCCTCACTCTCTCTTTGGAGATCAATAGTGAAGTTTAACCACATTTGCTTGCAACCATTCCAGCCTGGGCTGTGAGTCTGTCAGATCTCACAACAAAGTCAGGAGAGACTAAACTTGGATTGTGGTTTCTCCTTGGAGGGTTCCCATCCATTTTTCCCCACTGCATTTTCAGGAATTTTTCACTCAGATGGAAGGCTGAAGAAATTTTGGTCCCGCTCTGATGAGAGCGTTAGAAATAATGGTTTCTCCCACACCTCATTTTAAGTTGTACATGTTTCAAAAGTGGCTTACAATGTGCTCATAGACTTACAGAACGACGTGGCAGAGAAACTAATCAATTAATGAGTTCATTCAGTTGTTACAACTTAAGCCCTGAAATTTACTTTTTATTTAGCAATTGTTTAACATTTTGTGCCGAATCATCTTAATTTAGACACAAAAATATAGATTTATTAGAACAGAAAAAGCTTTGACAAAATCCAATATAAGCAGAGATGGTTTCATATTTTATTCATTTTGAATTACACTTTAACATTTGCTTATACTATTGAAATCCAAAATCCTTCTTAAATACTTGAGATCTAGCAAGTGAAACTGACTATTCTAGTTTCACTGTCTAAGCTGAGTAAAATACTCCTGGGGGAATTCTGCGCCACTGCACACACACACAGAATTCATGTCACCTGCAGATTCCTTCCCCTCCCTCCCCCTCTCCCACCACAGAAATACATACTGCCAGGAAGGCACTGCAGGTACACTTTTCACCCACCAGGGGCCATTGTGGTGCCAGAAGAGAGGACAGCTGGCTCAGCCAGCCATGGAGAAGGAGGGGGAGAGGCGGTCTTCCTCACGGTGCCCTGCCTGCAGGGCCACATATGGGGAGGATGGACAGAGCAGGGCACACGGGGGTGCTGGGGAGGTCACACAGACTGGGATTAAGAAAGTGGGGGGGAAGAGTGGGGAAGGGGCACATGAGCTAGTTGGGGGACAGCATTGAGCAAGGGGCTGAATGGGAGTGGTGGTGCACGGCCATATGGAGACACGGGTGTGCAGGGACACATAGGCACACTGGCAGATGTGCCTGACTGAATGGGAGAGGCTAGGGGTGAACCAGTGTCTGCATGGGGGAAGCTCCCCAACTCACTCACAATCCCTTCTCCCCCCCCCAAACCCTGTTCCATACTTCTTCCACCCACACCCAACAACCCTCCACGTGCACACCCAGGCTCCTTCCCAGCAATTACTTCTCTCTCCCTCAGCTCCTCCGTTAGACGTAACTCCCACAAGCCTTTACACTGCTTCTGAGGGGTGCGGGAAATACAGTTCTGTATTGTAGTTTAAATTATTACTCAAAGTTCTGTATTAATATGTCTACTAAGGAATCTATTTGTCAAAAAACATTTCCTGAATCTGTTGTCTGTAGTGTTACAGACATACTTGCTGACAGGTATGTTGAAATATATTACCAAAATAATTGAAACTGGCATTTTTTTTATATTGTGTTATTTTGACAAATAAAATATGCAGTTTGCAGAATTTTAAAATATATTGCACAGCATTTTAAATTTTTTGGCATAGAATTCCCCTAGGAGTAGTAACGTAGCAAAGCATCAATGCAGAAAGTACGCTAGATTTCTAAAATTCTTTCATTTAAATAATCTGAGGTGCTAATAGTATTTTTTCTAAATATGTCTTTTATCTTTCCAGGATCCCTTTAAAATAAAGAGATTTAACAAAGATGTATGAGGCTTAAGAAACTTATATTTGATATATCTTGGTGATGTTAGCCTGCCTCTGGCCAGGGACAGACTCACTTTAATATATCTTCTACTGATACTATGATTCTATGAGTGTAGCAACAAGTTAGATGAATGTCATCCTTTAAAAGAGTTATTTGCGAAGTGCCCTTCTGAAAGGAAA